GCCCTGCAGGACTTCCCAAGAGCCCACGACAGTAGTGTCAATGTCGGAAATCGCAGCCCCCCCCCGGTCACATGGTGATCCACGTAGGACGCCACTCTGCTGGGCCTCCCAGGACCCCACGGACGTGGCGACAATTCCCACAGGGACGGCGAGGTCTCATGGTGACCCCGTAGGACGTCACTCTGCTGGCCCCCCTTCCCAACAGCCCACGAAAGTGGCGACAACTTAGCCAATCGCAGCCCCCCAAGGGACGGCGAGGTCTCGCGGCGATCCCCGTGGGACGTCACTCTGCTGGACCTCCCAAGAGCCCACAAAAGTGGCGGCAGCTTCGCAGATCGCAGCCCCCCCCGACAGCGAGGTCTCCTGCTGATCCCCGTAGCGTCACTCTGCTGGGCCTCCCAGGAGCCCACGAAAATGGCCACAGTTTCGCAGGTCGCAATCCCCCAAGGATGGCGAGGTCCCATGGTGACCCCCGTAGGACGTCACTCTGCTGGGCCTCCCACTCCCAGGAGCCCACGAAAATGGCGACGATTTCGGCAGATCGCAGCCCCCCAGGAACGGCGAGGTCTCATGGTGATCCCCGTAGGGCGTCACTCTGCTGGCCCCCCGTCCCCAGGAGACCACGAAAGCGGCGACAGTTTCGCAGATCGCAACCGCCCAGGGACGGCAGGGAGGAGGCACGGCGGAGGAGAAGGAAGAGGAGGAGGAGGAGTGGGAGGAGGAGGAGGCGGAGGAGCAGGAGTTGGAGGAGGAGGAGGAGGAGGAGGAGGAGGAGGAGGAGGAGGAGGAGGAGGAGGAGGAGGAGGAGGAGGGGGAGGAGAAGAGGTGAGGAGAATGAGGCAGGAGATGGAGGAGGAGGAGGAGGAGGGAGAGGAGGAGGAGAGGAGGATGGAGGTTGGAGAGCACAGTGTTCTGTTCAAGCGAGAACCCAACACAGAAGGGTTGGGAACACGGTAAGGTGCACCGTGGGGTGGGATCAACAATGACTGTTCTAGACGAAGAAAAAAAAAAAAAACGTCATACAACTATTTTGTTTGGCGCTCCGCGCGGGTTTCTTGGATCTGCGCAGGACCCCCCTCTGGAGCGCGGGGCGCGCGCCAGGGGCGTCGCTGGAGGCGCCGCCAGGGGGGGCCCAGCGCGGATCCAAGAAAGCCTCGCGGAGCGCATGAAGTTGTTGTTTCTGGTTTTCCTGCTTTGGTGTTACATAACATTAAACTTCAACGGCTGAGTTTCTCCTCCGAGCCTTCGGACAGCATGCCCCTGCCCAGCAGGAGCTCGAGCGCCTCCCGCCGAGCGCAGACGGCGGGCGCCGCCGCCGTCCGCCGTTCGCCGTTCGCCGCTGGCGCGTCCGCCGTCGTCGCCCCCACAGTCGACGGCGTCGTCTTCATCGCGGTCGCAGTCGATAGACGAATAAAAAACAATCTGAACAGAAACTTGTGGCGCTCAGCAAGGATCTCTTGGATCTGCGCTGGACCCCGCTCCCTGGCGCGCGGAGCGCGCCAGGGGCGGCACCAGAGACGCCGCCTAGGGGGCCCAGCGCGGATCCAAGAAATTGGCGCGGAGCGCCAAAAGTTATGTTTATGGTGTTTCATCCTCTTCGAATCGATCGTCGGCGTCGTGGTCGGCGGCGTCGTCGTTCGTCGTCGTGGTCGGCGGCATGGCCGCAATCGTTCGTCGGCGCCGGGGTCGTCCTCGTTGATCGTCGTCGTCGGCGACGTGGCCGCACTGGCTCGTCCGTGCCGTGGTCGTCATCGCCGCCGGCCGTCGTCGCAGCTGGCCGTGTAGAGAAACTAAATGGCACCGATACCGCTGCTTCCCGGACCTCTCCCCCGGCGCGTTCTGACCCGGACTTCGAGGCGAATCCAGCGGTGCCGACGAGGGCCTCCCAGAAGGCCGAGAAAGGGAAACCGCGCGAAGGGGTAGCGGTATGGGCACACCAAATTTCACAACAGCGGGGGGCGGGTCAAAAAAGTGTCTGACAGCGCGTCTGCCTCCCCCCTCCAGAGCGGTGCAACCACGGGCCCACTACTGAGACGCCCAAACCAACTTGTTGGACGAGGCCAGTTAGACCCCCACACAGATAGACCCCGCCCATGAGTATGAGACCTGCAGTGCCTTCCCTGAGATCCGACGCAGCAACAAAAACTGCAACATCGTGAAAAATCACGCCCGGAGCCCCGAACCACACCATTCTGCGACCTTTCCCGAGCCGGATCGCTCTGTGAGGGTCTCGGGGCCCGAACTTGGATGACAACGCCCGGCCCGACAGAATGGGGTCGCCAGGATCTCAGGGTGGTCCTCCTCGGAGTCGGCGCCGCGGTCGCCACGGTCGTCGCAGCCGCCGCCGTCCGCCTCTGCAGCAGCCTTGGGTCGGGCATGCCCTCGTACAGGGGGATTGGATCGAAGAGCAGAAGAATCCCAAAGTAGTGCAAAATGGTAGAAAGATCTTCCCCAGACTACAATCAAAAACCCTAATGAGGACGCGCGGCAAGGACGCAAGACCCTTGGAAGCCGAAGTTGGGTTTTTTGGGGGCGGCGGACGACGAACACCTCAAGGACGCAAGAGCAAGGAAGAGCAAGGAAGCAAGGGTACCCTGAGCAAAGCCGCGCGTCCTTGTTAAGGTTTTTGACTATATTCCCTGACTACTTTTGCATACTCCTCCTGTACCTCCTGTCGAGGGGCATGCCCGACTCAAACAACAGCCGCCCGAAGGAGCGCCTCTGGCCGCGCGGCCGGTGCGCAGGCCGACGTGTCCAGGGCCCGCCGCGCCGCGGAGCCCCCAGCGAGGCGGCCGCCGGCGCGGAGGCGCGGGAGGCCCGCGGGCGCGCCCCGAGGGGCCGCGGCGCCGCCGGCGGGGCCTGGGATTTTCGGGTCGTTCATCAGCATCATCAGCATCAGCATCAGCATCAGCATCGGCATCAGCATCAGCATCAACATCAGCATCAGCATCAGCATCAGCATCATCATCAGCATCATCATCATCATCAGCATCCTGATCATGGTCATCATCATCATTACCATCATCAAAAGCAACCTCGTCATCATCAGCAGCATCTCGTCATCATGTCCATCAGCATCAGCATCATCATCAACATAAGCATCCTCATCAGCATTATTAGGATCACCATCCGCATCATCATCATCATCATCATCATCACCATCATCACCGTCATCATCATCAGCATCATCATCAAAAGCATCATAATCATCATCAGCAGAATCACCATCATCAACACCATCATCGCCATCCGCACAATCACCATCATGAACATCATCATCGTCATCAGCATCAGCATTATCATCAGCATCAACATCATCATTCGCATCATTTTCATCATCGCCATGATCATCACATCATCAGCATCATAATCGTCATCATAATGATCATCATCATCATCTGCATCATCATCATCATCACCATCATCATCATTATCATCATCATCCACATCATCAGCATCATCATCCGCATCATGGGTTCGCACGAAGAGGGAGGAGACACATCATCACCATCATCATCATCATCATCATCATCATCCGCATCATGATCATCAGCATCAGCACCATCATAATCATTAGCATCTGCATCATCATCATCATCAGCAGCAGCGTCAGCATCAGCATCAGCATCAGCATCATCACAATCATCATCATCATAATTCGTATCAACATCCGCATCATGAGCACCAACCTCATCATCAGCATCATCATCCGCAGCATCAGCATCAGCATCAGCATCAACATTCTTAGAGTCACCATCCGCATTATCATAATCAGGAGATTCCCCACCCGTCCTTTTACACAGCACTCTCATATATGTCATCCGCATGTGGTGACCTTGCAGACAGCACAATTCTGAGAACACGCCGGCGTGAGACACACAACAACGTACATTACAGATCCGTGCAGTCAATACAATTGCTTGCGGCCCGCCAAAAGCCAGGGCGGGTAGGTCGTGCACCAGTTCAGACAGGGAGGGAGGCTTGAGCGAAACGTATACGGACTCTGTGTATTCATCTCCTGCACGTTCTGAGGACAAGTCGGAGATTCCCCACCCGTCCTTTTACACAGAACTCTCATATATGTCATCCGCATGTGGTGACCTTGCAAACAGCACAATTCTGAGAACACGCCGGCGTGAGACACACAACAACGTACATTACAGATCCGTGCCGACATTCGAGGCACCAGAAGTCGCTATCGGTTCTCTGCCGTCAGCGCGGCTCGGGTCTTTCACGCGGAAGGGGTACAGGCGGACGGTTTGCCGAAAGACTCGATCGAATGCAGCATCTTGGAACACATCGGCCATTCGATTCGCAAGCACGTGAGGGTAAGCTGCGGCGCGAGCGGTCCAGTGAATGCCCAGGCCGTCTCGGCCCTGGAGAATCTGGTGTTTCTTTCCAGAGAACGAGCAGATGCCACGGACAGCTTTACAACGCTTACACAATTCGTCGGCTCTCGGCAGCAGGAAGCATCTCAGCCTAGTGGCTTTACACCACGGCGTGCCCCAACCGCAACAGTTAGTTATAATATCGCGGACCCCGGGCCAGCGAAAAATCTGAACGGCAGCATCCATTTTCCACATGTAGGATGACTGAGGATTCTCCCACAAAGAAAGGAACCCGCATCTGTTTACAGCACTTAAAGATCTTACAGGACACCTGAAACAGTTTGTTGCCCTCGTCTACCAGGCATTGCAGATGAGGAGGGAGCGAGGGGGGGCCAGAGGGAGCTTGCGACGATCTCACGGCATTATGACCTCCTCGGGCAATGGAGAAAGAATTTTATGGCACACCAGCTAGCACACCGAGACATCTGTCGGACTTGATCATCCGCAAGATGCGCTTCAAGACGGCGGGCCTCAGGAGGTCACCTTGGGGCCCTTGTAACACATCAAATGAGTGCACTCTGAAACCACGACGGCGCAGCGAATTCGAGAAATGTTCCGAGCCCAAGAAGATTTCAATGTAGAAATACTCGTGTCTCTTGGCGCGGGGGTCGCTCAAGCGTTGACGGATAGCGAGGCGGCGCCGAGCAGCGAGGGCAGCTCGGCCTCGGCCTGGGGGCAGTAGGTCCTGGCCGAGGGCTCCATCTCGCTCCACACCGCCTGGATGAGCCCGCGCTTCTCGTAGCGCCTGACCGAGCTCGGCTGGCGCCACCTGCCGCGCCGCTGGACCTCCTGCAACGAGATCCTCCCCGTGAAGCGGTCGATGGACGCGCCGCTGTGCCGGGCCGTGTAGAGCACGGGCAGCTGCTTGTCCAAGTTCAGCGCGCGCGTCGCGCGCTCGAACACGTCCTTGGCCTCCGCCATGGTGAACGTCCACAAGGGGGCGCTGGACGGGCCCTGGGCTAGCCGAACCAGAGGGTTGCCCAGCCATGGACGTGCCGCGTCCACTGTCTCGTCCATCTCGCCAGTCTTGCTCGGCCTCTTCATGTAGTCGGGATTGATGTGGATTGTCACCTTGGGCATGTGCGCCTGCGGAGGGATCACTTGGCCGCGGGTCAGGCGGAACGCCTCGCCAGGCCTCAGGTACGTGTCCACCATCAGGAGCCAGAACACCGCGAGGTCGGGGCGGCCGCTGATCCGCCAGATCTGGCGCGCCACGCCCATGCAAGCCGCCCAGGGCAGCGGGCGCCGCGTCCGCGACGGCCGCAGCAGGCGCCACCCTCGCAGCGCGCGGTAGGCGCGCGGCAGGGCCAGCTTCCCCTTGCTCTGGTAGTCGGGCACGTGCATGAAGATGGCGGCGAGCAGCTTCTCGCCCGTCGACGCAACCTTCCCCTCGAGGTGCAGCTCGTCGAAGAACCTCACCACGGCGGCGTCCGTGTCGGCAGCAGGCGCAGCCAGAGACGTCAGGCGACTGCGACTGAGGAGCAGCTCGAGCAGCCGCGTGTACTGCAGTCGGCTCCGCCGTCCCACCGCAGCAGCCTCGGTGATAGAGAGCTGGCGGGTGGTGTCCCGCGCCTGCTCCCCAGCGTCCAGGCGGCGCTGCACAGAGCGCGGCAGCTCCCGCAGGGGGATGCTGCGCGGGGCCGCCAGCACCACCGACGGGCGTCGAGTCAGAGCCTCGCGGCGGCGCAGGGCGGGCGAGCCCAGGGGGCCCGAGCTGCGACGCGCCGGCGTCCGAGCCGCCGAGGGCCGCAGAGGGGCCTGCGCTGTCGGGCCACTCCCAGGCGCGCTGCGCTTCAGCCGCCTGGTCGGCGGCGGCGCCGCGAGGCCGCGGGGCCGCAGCGGGCGCGCGGCTGCCGGCGGCGGGGCTGCGGCCGAGCCCCGGCGGGCCCGCGGGGGCCGCGGGCCAGCCGCTGCCGAGCCGACTGTTGCCCTCGGGGCCCCGCGCCGAGCTGCGGCGGTGCCGGAGCTGACGCCCGCGCGCCGCGGTAGCGCGCCAGCCGGCCCCAGATGCAGCGCGCCCTGCAGCGCCCTCGCGGGAGCGGCTGTCACCGTCGGCCGCGTTGAACTCGCTGGGCACCCATCGTCGATGTATGCGGGCCCCCGAGGCGAGAGTCAAGGCGGCGCCTCGTCGCAAGATATTGAGCAGAAATATATCACGACAGCGTCCTTCAGATAGTGCAAGTGTGAGTGCTAGATTGTCCCCCAAGATGACGCGCCTCTTCCCCCAGGAGTCCGCGTCCGACAGGATCAGCTTCACGGCGTGTAAGTCACCCCATGCCTCCTTACGATGCATGGGATCCTTGCCGAAGAGTGGCGAGTAGTGCATGGTCGACCAGCTGGTGCGGCGGATGGTGTGCGTCGACAACTTCAGGGAATCGTTTGTTGGCGAGACCCTGGCGCAACAGAACAGACGGGTGCGCATCGAGCTCGGCGACCTCGGCCGCACGTGCCGCGCGGTCGCGCGGCCGCCAACCCCCGTCCGCCTCACGCGTGTGGCGGAACCGCCACCGCTCGTGCCAGCGACCAGCACTCTGCACCTCGGAAAGGTCCCACTCGCCCTCGACAGAGGCGTGGCCCGTCTCGCAGGCGTCAGTCATGACGACCTTGGTGGACCACTCGGCGTCGAGGTCCGAGACGAGCGTGACCAGCAAGCCGCGGAAGATCCTGAACTCGCGCCGCGCCGACGCCCAGAGGGGCCTGGCGCGCTGGCAATTCTGCTGGGCGAACGAGTGGACGGCGCTGAAGCAGCTCAAGCTCTCACGCCGGCACAGCGCGGCGAACGTGCAGTGGCCGATGACGTGCTCGACGTCGCGGCTGGTGACGCGGGGCCGGCGCTGCGCCAAGTAGCCGAGCCCCGTGCACAGCTTCCAGAACCGCCGCGGCGCCAAGGTGGCGCGGGCAGGCGATCCATGCAGCTGCCCGCCGAGCATGGCCACGCTCTCGGCGGCGTCGGTCTCGTCATGGACGGCCAGGCCGGAGCCCTCCAGCGCCTTGGAGGCCTCGCGCCTGACCTTGGTCACGGCCTCGCGGTCGGTGCCCACCACGAGCGCGTTGTCGACGCACAGCGAGTGGATGGGCTCCTCGAGCGGGCTGGGGACCGGCGCGAAGTCGACCGCCCGCCGCTCGGGCCTCAGGGCGTCGCGCTGGTCCAGCGTCCGCTCGTGGGCCTTCTGAACGAAGAAGAGTGCCCAGCTCCACCCCGTGGGAACAACGGCAAGCTGTGGGTAAAGGCAGGCCCAGGGCGGGACACGCCGCCCGTCAAGCCTGCTGATGCCGAGCTCGCCCGCGGTGACCTTCGGCAAGCAGAAGTACGACCGCAGGTAGGCCGGCAGCTTGTGCTGGTAGAACGCGTTCTGGACGTCCACCCCCGCGTAGTAGAGGGGCGTGTCCTTCGGCACCTCGAGGTCCGCGAACCCCGCGGCGGAGAACAGGCTGACCGACGGAGGAGGCTGAAACCGCTGGTTGCTACGCCTGCAGTCCAGCGCCATCCTGATCCGCTCGCCCTTCTTAGCCGCGAAGAAGGCGGAGACGTCCTCGGTCCTCTCTTTCCCTAAGACGAAGACGCCCCGCGAGATGCCAGACTGGATGAATTCAAAGTAGAGCGGCCTGTTCCGCTCCAGCACAGGGTCCATGTACAACGTGGGCCCCCCCTCTGTCTCCACGGCCTCGTCGAAGCTCGGCGGCGGCAGCAGCAAAGCATGGTCGAGGCCCAAGAGAGAGCGTCGTTCGCTTGTCCCCAGCCGATCCGCGAGCCACTGAGGCTCGTTTCCCAGCTCGGGCCAACTCGCGAGGTGCGGAGCGTAGGGCCTCAGCGGCAAGTCGTTAGCCGTGTCGTAGTGCAGACACGGGCGGCCCAAAAGCTCTGAGCAGGCTTCCTGGGCCGACGTGCTCGGAGGGGCAGCCATATGACGATGCAGCCCTCGAACACGCCGATGCAGCAGATCATCCAGATGTGAGAGGCGCTCTGGCGCGACCCGTGGCGTGGCGTAGCCCCCAAGCAGGTTGAGGCACTCCGCGGTGTCCCGAGCACGCTCCTCGATCAACTGGGCGCGGGAAAGGCGAGCCCGAACCGAACGCGATAGTCCAGGCGGTGGAGGTGGAGCAATCGGCGACGCAGCCACGGCAAAAGGCAGCATGCCATCGCCAGGAGGTTGGACATCAGCAGGTCCACAAAACTGGCTCTCGAAGTGCGGCGATCGGGTCGAGCCACCTCCCGATTTCTGACCCCAGGTCACCCCTTGTCCTTCCTGCCCGACTGGGCAGATTTCTCCTCGCGCGCCTTGCGCCTCTGCTTCTGGATCTCCGTCTCCTTGGCGAGCTGGTCGGTGGCGTACTTGGCGACCCCCGGCGCCATCGCGACGCCGCGACGGGCGCTCTGCTTCTGGCGGCCGATGTAGTGCTCGACGCCCTGGATCTTCATGCTCCCCATGGCCTCCTCGATCAGCTGGTAGGCCCGCGAGACCACCTCCATGCTGGCGAGGTTGGAGCCGTCGACCTGGTCATAGGTGACGGCCATCTCGATGGCGAAGCCGAGCAAGTCGTGGATGTGCGCGGCCGCCGAATCCTTGGCGCAGCCGCTCTCCATCATCCACTTGGTGCGGCGGCCGTCGGGGGTGCCGCCGTGATCGACGATGTAGTCGCACAGCCACTTGAAACTGCGCTCGCCGACGAGCGGGAAGTCATCATGCTGCTCCTGCCTCATGGACGACACCGCCTCGCGAAAGTCGCGGTGCCTACGGCCCTCCCGCGTGCGCTGGAGAGGGCCGAGGAGGCGGGCGTCGTCGTCAGCTAGCTTGTCCGACACCTCGACAGGCAGCGGGACAGGGTGGAGCTCGATCGGGACGACGAAGCCGCCCGCCGTGCTGTAGAGCCCGCTCTCGCCCCAGACCACGTCACCCGCCTTCGGGACGACCTCGTCGAGCTGCTGGCACTCGTTCGGGATAGTCTTCATCACAAACCATGCAGACCCAGGCGGCGCGGCCCGCTCGTCAGTGAGCACCACCGCGCCAGGGCCGCCCCTCGGGGTCGGAGTGCCCCCGACCTCGCCGTCGGCGAGCGCCCCTGGCTCAGCGCCCACGGCGTCCAGCGGGGGCGGGGCCACAGGCGGGCCACGAGGCGGGCCGCGCGGCACGGCAGCGGACGGGCCCTTGCCCCGCGTGCGGCGCAAGAAGCCTGGCACGTCGTTGAAGCTGACCGTCATGCTCTTGGTGGGCCGGCCGCCGTCGCGCATGAAGGCGGTCGGCTCGGACTCGCGCAAGCCGGCGTTGCGGGCGGCCAGGCGAGCGTCCCGAAAGAGGTCGATCATGTCCTCCTCGGCGGGATGCTCACGAAACCTGTAGACTCGCCCCGGGGGGCGAACAGCAGCGGGAGTCGCCCCCATCGTGAGGGAAACGCGGCTCGGCCCGTCGCCATCGGGCCCTGCCGCCATCTCTTCCGGGTACACGTCGCCGTCAGGCGTGAGGCAAGTCCAGCATGTGTTGGGGAAGGCGCCAGGGTACGGCCACAACAGCAACCGTTCGTGCCATATGTTCGGGTCGTCCTCATAGTAGAAGGACACGACCCGCCCTGGCACCAGCTCATTGCAGAACTCCTCCGCCTCGGCGGCGGTCCCGTCGCTCAGGAAGAGGCTCAGGCTCGCGGGCAGGAGGGCCATCGCGGCGACGCCGGGCGGCGAGGCAAGCGCCACACTGCGTCAGCGCCGCGGTCAGCACCACCCCGAGCGCGTGCCACAGGAGCGTGTCGGGCTCCTCGGGCAGCTCGGGCGGCGCGGCCCGCAGGGCGCGGAGCTCGGCCAGCTCCGCGGACAGGTTGGCCAGCACGACCTGCACCTCGTCCAGTGCGGCGTGGCACGAGCTGAGGTTGGCCGCGTGCGCCGCGGCGAGCTGGGCCCCGCGCTCGGCAGCCCGCTGGGCAGCGAGGGCCGCCCGACTGTCCCAGTCGTCGGGCGGACCGCCTCCGCCGCCCGCGCGCAGCAGGGCAGGCTGCCACGCGTCCAGGGCACACCAGATGCAGACCAGCGACCAAGATGGCAGCCAGAGGGCGCATACGTGTCAGGTGCTCCCTGAGGCGAAAAAAAGGCTTGAGCGAAACGTATACGGACTCTGTGTATTCATCTCCTGCACGTTCTGAGGACAAGTCTCATCACCATCAGCATCGTCATCATCATCAGCATCACCATCATCAAAATCATCCTAATCATCATCAGCAGCATCACCATCATCAGCACCATCATCATCACCATCCGCATCATCACCATCATCAACATCATCATCGTCATCAGCATCAGCAACATCATCATCATAATCATCAACGTCATCATCCGCATCATCATCATCATCATCATCATCATCATCATCATCATCATCTCTATTACCCTCATCAGCATCACCATCACCAGCATCATCATCATCAGCAGCGTCATCATCAGCATCATCATCAGCATTACCGTCATCATCAATATCATCACCATCATCACCTTTATGATCATCAGCATTCTTATCGTCATCATCATCCGCATCACCACCATTATTATCAGCATCATCATCATCATCACCAGCATTATTACCATCAACATCCTCATCCTCATCAGCACCAGCATCACCAACATCAGCACCAGCATCATCACCATCCGCATCATCAACATCAACCGCATCACAATCATCGTCATCATCAGCATCATCCACATCACCATCATCAACAGCATCATCATCATCCGCATCATCATCGTCATCAGCATTACAAGCATCAGCATCAGCAGCATCATCACCAGCATCAGCATCAGCATCAGCACCATCACCATCATCATCATCATCATCATCATCGTCATCCGCATCATCATCAGCAGCATCAGCAGCATCTTCATCATCATCATCAGCGTCAGCATCAGAATCAGCATCAACATTAGCATCCTCATCATCCGCATCATTATCATCATCATCACCATCAGCATCGTCATCATCAGCATCATCCTAATCGACATCCTCATCATAATCATCATCAGCATCACCATCATCACCACCATCATCATCACCATCCGCATCATCACCACCAACATCATCATCGTCATCATCATCAGCAACATCATCATCATCATCATCAACATCAGCATCCGCATCATCATCATCACCATCATCAGCATCAGCATCATCAGCATCATCAGCCACCTCATCATCATCATCATCATCACCATACGCATCATCTACATTATCATAATCGTCAACATCACTGTCAACATCAGCATCAGCATTATTGTCATCATCATCGCCATGACCATCAGCATCCTCATCAGCATCACCAGCATCATCATCATCAGCATCGGCATCACAAGAATCATCAGCATCAGCACCATCATCAGCACCATCATCAGCAGCATCAGCACCATCACCATTATCAACATCATCATCGTCATCAGCATCAGCAGCATCATCATCACCATCATCATCACTATCATCCACATCGTCATCAACATCACCATTATCAGCATCATCATCAGCCGCATCATAGTGACCAGCATCGGCATCATCGTCAGTATTATTATCATCCTCCGCATCGTCATCATCATCATCATTATCATCATCAGCATCGTCATCATCATCATCATCAACATCCTCATCATGGTCATTATCAGCATAACCATCATCACCACACTCAGCATCAACATCCGCATCACCACCATCATTAACATAATCCTCGTCATCAGCATCAGCAACATAATCAACATCATACTCCGCATCATCATCATCACCATCCTCAGCATCATCATCATCAGCATCAACATCAACACCATCATGGGCATCATCATCATCATCATCCGCATCATCATGACCATCAGCATCATCATAACCAGCATCATCATCAGCATCATTATTATGATCATCATCAGCATCACCATCACCAACACCATCAGCATCATCCGCATCAGCATCATCCGCATCATCATCATCATCATCATCACCATCAGCATCATGATCATCATCAACATCATCATCAGTAGCTCCGTCACAATCATCAGCATCATCACCATCATCAGCATCATCGTCATCCACGTCATTATCAGCATCATCATCATCAGCATCATCGTCAACATCGTCATCATCAGCATCATCATCAGCATTATGATCATCATCATTCGCATCATCATCATCATCATCATCATCAGCATCATCACTATCAGCATCATCATCAGCATCCGCATCATGATCATCAGCATCATCATCACCACCCGCATCATCACCATCATCAACATCATCATCGTCATCAGCATCAGCACCCTGATAATCATCATCCGCATCACCATCCGCATCATCATCATTAAACTGATCACCATCATTAGCATCATCATCAGCATCATCATCTCGCGCATCATCATCATCAGCAGAATCAGCATCATCATCATCATCCGCATCATCATCACCATCATCGTCGTCACCATTAGCATCAACATCAACATCATCATCATCATCATCATCATCATCATCATCCGCATCATCATCATCAACATCATCATCATAATCCGCATCAGCAACATCGTCAATATCATCATCATCGTTATCATAATTCGCATCATCAGTATCGTCATTATGATCACCACCATCCGCATCATCAGCGTCATAATCCGCGTCATCATCGTCATCATCTTCTGCATCATCATAACCATCAGTATCAGAATCATCATCATCATCATCATCATCATCATCATCATCCTCATTATCATCATCATCAGCAACAGCATCATCATCATCATTAGCATCAGCATCATCACTATCATCGTCGTCATCATCATTAGCATCACCATCAGCATCCGCATCAACAAAATCATGATCAGCATTATCATCATCATCATCATCATCATCATCCGCATCATCATTCGCATCCTCATCAGCATCATCATCCGCATCATCATCGTCATTATCATCATCAGAATCATCATCCTCATTATCACCAGCATCAGCAACCTCATCAGCATCACCAGCAGCATCATCATCATCATCGTCAGCATCACCATCACCAACACCATCAGCATCATCCGCATCATCCGCATCATCATCATCATCATCATCATTATCATCATCATTACCATCATACGTATCGTTATCATCACCATCATGATCATCATCATCATCAGAAGCATCATCCTCATCATCAGCATCCTCGGCATCATCACCATCATCATCAGCAGCATCATCCGCATCATCAGCATCCTCGGCATCATCACCATCATCATCATCAGCATCATCAACATCATCATCATCGTTATCATCATCATCATCATCATCATCATCATCATCATCATCATCCGCATCATCATCATCATCATTTTCATCATCATCATCATCATCATCATCATCCGCATCGTCATGCGCATCACCATCGTAACCAGCATCATCATCATCCGCATCATCAGCGGCAGCATCATCATCATCCGCATCATCATCCACATCACCATCAGCATCATCATCCGCATCATCATCGTCATCATCATCATCACCCGTACCATCATCAGATCATCAGATCATCAGAGCATCGGATCATCCTCATCATCATCATCATCATCATCATCATCATCATCATCCGCATCATCATCATCATTATCATCACCACCATCATCATTATATTTAGCATCAGCACCATCAATCCGAATCATCATCATCAGCATCATCATCAGCATCGTCAACATCATCATCATCATCATCATCATCATCATCATCATCATCATCATCAGCATCATCATCGTCATCGTCATCGTCATCGTCATCATCGTCATCATCACGGCCGACGCGCGCGGCAGTGCCCCTGGATGTAATTGCGGGCTGGTGCTGCTGCTGCTGTTCCTCCTGCTCCTCCTGCTCCTCCTGCTCCTCCTGCTCCTCCTCCTCCTCCTCCTCCTCCTCCTCCTCCTCCTCCTCCTCCTCTTCCTCCTCGCACGACAAGGGGGGCCTTTCGGGCCGCACGAAACCCAGACATCGGGCGTCTCGAAAATGCGCCGTTTTCGGACTCTCGGAGCCCTCGCCGGGCCTCGGGACCGTCAATAAGCGACTTGGGATGAGAAACCCGTCCGAGGGGAGTGTTCGGGAGGTCGGGGACCCGTGTCTCGAAAAAATCACGACGTCGGGCGTCTCGAAAGGGGAGGGATAGCAAAGGGGGGGTTGGCGAATTAGCTCCCCGGGACCCCCTCGAGTCACGACAAGAATCACGACGGGAAGTGCTTCGCCATCTTCAGCCTCCATGGGGGCCCTCGCCGGGCCTGGGGACCGTCAACAAAACGACTCGGGATGAGAAGCCAGTCCCAGAGAATGGGTCGAGAAACCCTTGGGGTCGACGTTGTGACCAAATCATGACGTCGCGGGCCTGGGAAGGGGGGGATAACAAAGATTACTAACCAAAAAAGGACCCCTAACCCTTTTGGAGCCAAGCCAAAGCGCCCAAATGTATTATCCCTAGTGTGAAGACGGGGGCCTCAGTGTTTGTTCTCAATGAAAGAGGGGGGGCTGGCGAACCTTGAGCAGGGACCCACCGGCCCCGCATTCCTATTGGCCTACCACGAAATGTTCGCAGATTCCAAAAATGTGCGAATAACAAAAAAATGTTCTTAGAATATAAGCCCGATGTGTCAAAACAAGACCGACCCAGCCAGAAATGTTCTAAGAATACTTCGTGCAAGCCACAACAAGTTCTTAGAACATTCTTCAGTGGGCCTATAAGCGAGCCAGGACGCTTCGCCACTGCTTGATAATCAGCTCGCGTAGCCGATTTCCCTGGTGCCTCCCTGCGCCGAAGGCGCCAAATTGTATCGAGGAAAGCGCCTGATGGTGGAGCCGAGACCAGCTGAATCTCGCAAATGTCGTAACAAGAAACCTTCCAGTGGAGGCCCGGTCACAAGAGACCTTCCACAAGAGACCCAACCCTGAGACTCCAGTACGTCCCTTGACTTTTGGCGTGGGAACGCCACGCTCTCCACAGCAACACTATCGAAACCCAAGAAACCCAGGACACCCTGGAGGCAAGCAGTTCATAGGTCTCCACTGTATTCCCTCCTTTTTTGGACGCCCGACACGGGTACCGAAAAAATGGGTACGATGCCCAACAACAAATGTTGTCCCATACCAACAGCGGCCGCTGTTGGGCAGGCGGCCTTCTGTCTCGAATGGACACAGGCCGCGGCGGCGCGGACAGCGAGGCCTGTTCAAAATGAACAGGAACTGCGGTTGGGCATTGTACCCATTCTTTCCGTGCCCATTTCGTTCGTCCAGAACTGTATGCCCCCCTTTCATCCGACCCGAGCCTGCGGGGTCGGCAAGAGTCGTCGGCATCGGCTCGGGAAGCGCGGGCTCGAGGCGGAACGGTGCGGGGCGGGGACTTATCCGTCATTGGCCACCGTCCGGGGAAGCGACGCCCTGGGAGCGCGGGGGGCGGCCCCCTGGGGCCCGAATGTACAGTCGGGGCGTCGACCGAAGGAACCCCAAATCAGGAACGAGGCCCCTCTTCCCCTAAAGTGAATCTTCCATTTCCCATGGAAGTCCTCAGGACAACCTGAGGCAAACTGTCAAGCAATCAGGGAACACCGAGCCCCTCCCCAACGAAAAGGGTTCCTTCTTCAGCGCCCCGACTGTATCCGTACCCGCCGCCTGCCGAGCTCTCCGCAGGTCGATCCCCCGGGCGGTGGTCATGGAGAAATCCCCGCCTCGGAGCGTGCCTCGGATCGGGCCGCAGAGGCCCGGAGTCGGGGAAAATCGAGTCGGGGCGCCCGCGCCAGCGGTGCACGGCGTCGCCACGCGGGCATCGAGCCACAGCGCGTCGCCGGAGCAGCGGAATCGAATCGGAGCGGGCCGGCCGACATCGACATCGAGTGGGACCAGCCGGATCGAGCTGGACCCTGGCGGGGTGTGGACCTCGGCCCAGAGGGCAAGAAAGCACGCGGCATCGTCGCCGTCAGCGCCGCTGGTCGTCGTCAGTCGTCAGTCGTCAGCCGTCAGTCGTCAGTCGTCAGTCGTCAGTCGTCAGTCGTCGTCGTCGTCGCCGTCGCCGTCGCCATCGCCGTTGCCGTCGCCGTCGCCGTCGCCGTCGCCGTCGCCGTCGCCGTCGCCGTCGCCGTCGCCGTCGCGGTCGTCGTCGTCGTCGTCGTCGTCGTCGTCGTCGTCGTCGTCGTCGTCGTCGGCCCACCGAGGGGAGGGGACCAGGGGTGTGGCAGTCAAGAGTTCGTCAACGGGGGGGGGATACCGTCGGAAAGAACATGAGACCCTCCGCCAGCCAAACTGAAGAACATTAGAGGGCACCCTCCCCAAGTATGCACAAGAACATCCAACAAGCACGAAGAATGTCAGGGTACCTCCCCGAACCGATATCGATCTTATACCTCGGTTCGACTGCATACGGTCTGTGGCAACTCATGGGAACCCCCCATGTCATCTTGCCGGTTCTTGCGAACTGACGCTAACCGAAGCTCAATCGGAGCTGTCTGATCGATTGAGAAACGCTGGCGCGCCCGCATGCACTCCAAAGACGGCATGGCGAGAACATGCACAGCTCGCCTGACTTGACACCGAAGACGCGTGGGACGAGGAAACGAGCTCTGGTCCTCTTGCCATCGCTCGGACGTCCATTTCCCGTGCATGTTTCGATCTCGTGCGTGTTTTTTTTGCCGGATGGTCCAGGATGGTCCTCGACGGTTCTCGCCGAGCAACAATGACCACGTCCGAGCGATACCAGGGCAATGGCGAGGACATACACAGCTCGCCTGACTTAACACCGAATACACGTGGGACGAAGAAACGAGCTCTGGTCTTGCCATCGCTCGGACGTCCATTTCCTTTGCATTTTTCGATTTCGTGCGTGCTTTTTTTTGCCGGATGGTCTAGGATGGTCTTCGACGGTTCTCGCCGAGAAAAAATATGCACACGTCCGAGCGATGCCAGGGGAATGGCGAGGACATACACAGCTCGCCTGACTTAACACCGAATACACGTGGGACGAAGAAACGAGCTTTTTCCCGTGCATTTTTCGATCTCGTGCATGTTTTTTGGTGCCGGATGGTCTAGGTCCTCGATGTTTCTCGCCGAGAAAAAATGCCCACGTCCGAGCGATGCCAGGGGAATGGACGTGGGACGAAGAAACGAGCTCTGGTCCTCGATGGTTCTCGCAGAAGAAAATGCACACGTCCGAGCGATGCCAAGCCCATGTGTTCTGCCCACTCGTGGCCGTCCACCCGAGGGGTGCGACAGGCACTCTCCCTGCGATGCGACTTCGCGAAAACTGTTCCTCGTCGGCGGCGAGGCAGAGGCAGCCGACAAGGCGAATTGTCTGGCGTGCAAGAGGAGACTTCGCGAAAACACGCAACATCGCGAAAAATCGCAACCCGAGCCACAGACCATATTTCTGCGGCACTCTTCGACCTGGATCGACCTGTGATGGTGCTGGGGCCCGAAGCTGGGCGAACACACGCTCCCTGCGAAAAGAACGGCCGCGCGCGGACATCAGGGCTTCCACCCCCTCCCCTCGCCTGGGCCGACTCCCGGAATCTCCTGGTGCGGGAACTGCGTCGCAAACTCCCAGTACTTCTGGAACCTCGGCACCTCACCAGGGGCGCACGTATCCGCATCCGCGCCCTCACGGCTTGCACTCCAGGGCGCGATTCCCGCGGATGTACGGTCGCACGGGTACGTTCCGCGCGGGGCATCCGCGAAAATAACGCCCCGTACGCCGTATCCCCGGGACCGCTGGGGACACCAAAAGGCACCGGTACCGCTACTCCCCGGACCTCTCCCGGGGTGTGCTCTGACCAGGATTTCCGAGCGAATCCAGCGGTGGCGACGACGGAGGCCCAGGAGGCCGAAAAAGGAGGAAAACGGGCGAAGGGTAGAGGTATGGGTACCTTTTCCTCCTCTGACGTACGCCGTATCCCTGGGGTCATGAGCAGGTACCGACCGTCCCATCATTCCTATAGGCCTACCACGAAATGTTCTTAGAACCTAAAAAGAGTTCTTGGAACATGAGCCCGATGCGTTTAAACAAGACAGTCTCAGCCAGAAGTGCTCAAACCACATTTTGTGAGGAACACTCTGCGCAGACCACCATACGTTCTTAGAATATTCTTGGGTGGGCCTATGTAAACAGAGCTAAGATCGGGATAAATCGCTCCAGAGCGTTCCGGAGCGCTCTCAGAGCGTTCTGGAACGCTCTGGAGCGGCCGCGGCCCCCAATACATCCTCCAAACCCGCCGATTCTCAAAGATTTCGAGTGATCCCGATCCGACTTTGTCCCGATCTTCGCGTCGTTCTACTATAGGCTTGCCAGGACGCTTCGCCACTGCTCGAGTTTCATCCACTGGGTCGCGGCCAGGGGCCCGGCCTGCGAGGCCGCGGACACGGAGCCCAGGGGCACCGACAGGTCCGCCCCCGCGCAGCGCGGCAGGGCCGCCGCGGCGCCGCGCGGGAGGTCTGCCGCCGCCTCCGCCGACCGCGCCTGCGCGGGGCGGCCGCTTGGGGCCGAAAAAGCACCTCGCCAACGTTCGGACGTCCACTCCGTGTGCCTTTTCGGCTCCGTGCGTGTGATTCTTCGCGAGATGGTACTCCAGATTTTGTAATAAGAGGGAGGGGGTCTGGACCCTCCAAGACATGCCATTTCAGACCTCCCCCGTGGGAGAACCCTCCAAAACATCGTCCCCAGACCCCCCAGGCCCTCCAAGATAGCCTGGAAGAGACCCCCCCCCCGAAATGAGACCCCCCTCCCCTTATTACGAAATCTGGAGTAGAGAAAGAAAAAGCGCCACGGAAACTCTTGGCGCTCCGCGCGGAGTCCTTGGATCCGCGCTGGACACCCCCCCCCTGGCGCGCGGGGTGCGCCAGGGGCGGAGGCGCCGCCCCGGGGGGGTCCCCGCGCGGATCCAAGAAACCCTCGCGGAGCGCCAGAAGTTTATGTTGATGGCGTTTTTTTTCTTCTTCGAGATGATCCCAGATGCTCATCAATGGTCCTCGCTGATGACGAGTGCGCTCGCCCGAGCGATGCCAAGACGCGGACCCCATGCCCAAACACCCTCGAGACGTGAAACATCCATACCACAGGTTGTCAGCCACTGTCGGCCTCCAGGGATCCTAAACGGGCGCTGGGAGGGTCAACAGAAACGACTCAGGACTCAGGGTGAACAGCTGGTCCCGGGGATTGGGTCGAGATTTCCGGGAGTCTACGTCGTGAACAACTCGTGCCGCAGGTGGTCGGGTGCAGCGCAGTGGGACCATGGCCACAACCAAGTGGATCATGTAGAGGGATGTTTGCAGGCGTGGGCTCTGAACAATAGATGTTATTGCGCGCTCGATGAGCAACCCGTGTGGTGCCAAATACGCGGCGAGAGCTACGTAGTGCAAGCATTGCGGTGAAATCTACGTGGTGCAAATTATGAGGTGTAAAAAGTGTAGTATAAGCTCTGTTGTACAGAAGCGGTAAAAGCTGTAGTGTAGGCTATGTTGCGCAAGGTGTGTGTGAGGCAAAAGCTACAAGTTACGCGGAGTAAGCATTGTGGTGTAGACTGTGTGACTCAAAACTATGTGGTGTCTGCCATGCAGTGCCAATTATATGGTGCATGCTGCATGATGCATCCTCTACATACATACATGGTGTCAGCTATGTGGGGTTAGCTATGTATGTGAGGTTAGCTATGTGGTTTCAGCCGTGTGGTGCAAGCTATGTGGTGTGAACCAAGTGGTGCAAGGTCCTTGGTATGAAGGTCAAGCTGCTTGTACGGTGCAAGCTACGTGGTGCAACCGATGTGGTGCAAGGCAGTACAAGGTATGTAGCGTAAACTATGTGGTGTGGAACCTGCGGTGCAAGCTACGTGGTCGAAACCACGTGGGGTACGATACTTGTGGTGTGAGCTATGTCGCGCAGTGGCACATTCCACGGACAGCAAGTCATGTGGTGCAAGCTATGAAGTGCAAGCTGTGCGTTGTAAGCTATCTGGTGCAACCTGTGTTGTGCGAGCAGTGTCGTGCAACCGACGTGGTAATTCAGCAGCAAGATGCGCCCACGAGGCGCCCACGGGCGAGCGCCGGGCGAGCACGAGGCGACCACGATCGCCCACGGACGGGAGCCCACCTGGCAACAGGCGAGACTCCGCCGCGCGACCCTGAGCAAGCGGGGGCGCCCGCGAGGAGCCGACGGGCGGGCACCACCGGGCTACCAAAAAACCATACACAAACACACACAAACAAACAAACAAAACACACAACAACACAACACAGCACACACACAAAAACACACACAAACAAAAAAACACACAAAAACAAACAACAACACACACAAAAAAACACCGAAACCCCGCTACGCCCACTCGACGAACGGGGCGCCCACGAGGCGGGCACAAACCCAGCACTGGCCGGAACCCCGCCACACCCGTCCAATTACTCTTAGGTAGCCCAAGTAAGGATCCCTGAGTGCAAACACTGCTTGCGGATTGCTAGGACATATTCCCAGTCGTGAACCTCAAAGCAGTGCGTTATTGCATGACGGGTGCGAATGGTGCGTGGCACAAACTCTGCAATCTATGTGGCACACTCTACATTGTGCAAGCTGAGTGGTGCAAACTATGTGGTGCAACGCATGTGGTGCGACAGTATGAGTCAAAAGTGTCAGGTGCAGGAGATGTGGCGCAGTTGATGTGGTGCAAACTCTGTGGCTCCATCTATGCAGTGCTCTATACGTGGTGCAATCTGGGTAACGCAAGATCTTATGTGTCGCAAGGTACGTGCTGCAAGTCCTGCAATGCACCCTGTGTAAGGTGCAGCATCTGGGTGGTGCAAGCTGCTATGCCTTCGACACCGATATGAGAGAACGCGTTTCGCGGACGCTTGCCTTGGATGAGTACTCCAGATTTCGTAATAAAGGGAGGGGGATCTCATTTCGGCGGGGGGTCTCTTCCAGGCTATCTCGGAGGGCCTGGGGGGTCTGGGGACGATGTTTTGGAGGGTTCTCCCACGGGGGAGGTCTGAAACGTCTTGTCTTGGAGGGTCCAGACCCCCTCCCTCTTATTACGAAATCTGGAGTACTTTACTTGGACACGCGAGCGACGATCCAAATCGGGCCTTACGCGCGATTGCGCGGCGACCCCACGCGGTGGCTTTGACGCGGGCCGCCGGCGCGGCGTGCCGCACCTGGAGAGACGAGGGCGTCCACGCGCGACCTCACGCGAGCCACTGGCGCGCCCGTGTCGGCGAGGACGACCCCGGTTTTTGCTGCGTCGCTCACGCCCCAGGAGGAGGAGGAGGAGGGGGAGGAGGAGGAGGAGGAGGAGGAGGAGGAGGAGGGGGAGGAGGAGGAGGAGGAGGAGGACCACCCCCTCTCCCGCCCCCACCCCCAAGCAAGCAAAAAACGTCCCGCACGCCCGGAGAGCCAGAGGAGGGGGCCTCCCAGCGGGCGTCGGCCTCTCCACAGCTGGCCGTGCTGCCCCACTCGACCCTACCATCGATCCTGCTCTGTCCTGCTCGTCGGTGGCAACTCATGGGAGCCTCCCGCACCATCTTGTCGGCTCTTACCAAACGGCGCTAATCGATGCGAGTCGACGCCAAATGGACGCTTCTCGGCGCTTGCCTCATCGACTCCAAACGCTAATCGACGGTAGTCGACGCCAAAGACAGAATTACGGAGGTACACAAGGCTCCCATGATTTGCTACAGAACTACTCTGATCTACTCTCGGAAGACCATCGGCTCGTACGCCGTCGCCGTCGCAGTCGCCTTCGTCGTTGTCGACGTCGTTGACGTCGTCGTCCTCGTCGTCGCCGTCGTCGGCGGCGTCGTCGACGTCTTCGTTGTCGTCGTCGTCGTCGTCGTCGTCGTCGTCGTCGTCGTCGTCGTCGTCATCGTCGACGTCACCGTCACCGTCACCGTCACCGTCGTCGTCGGCGTCGTCGTGGTCGATGTCATCGACGTCGTCGTCGTCGCCGCCGTACGACCCAGAGAGGCCGCATGATGGCGGCCAGCGCGATGGACACCGTCCAACTTCCAGTGGAACACGCAGTTGTGACCAACCTGGCGGACGAGCTCGAGGGCTGCAAAAACGAGACAGAGTCCTTGCGCCAGTCCGACAAGAGCACGCTGGCCACGCCCGGCCCGCCCACGGCGTCGCTCACAGTCGTCAGGATCAAGACCTTGGCGACGACGGACGTGGGCGGGGTTTTTCGAGGCACAATCAACGAGTGACTAGCAAAGGTGCAGCCCACCGAAGGTGAGGCGACGATCACGACGAGCGACATTGAGGACAAACGTCGCCTCCCTCCGCGCCGAGAGCTGCCACGACCGCAAGTTCGTGAAGCTGCAGATATCGATGTTCAGCCCTCGCAACGCGATCTTGGCCTCGTTCAGCACCGAGGGAGTTGGCAAGGTGATGCCAGGAGTGGCGCCTCCAGGATGGCTCGAGGAGCTTGGGACGCGGGTGGACACGCTCTAGCAGCAGAAGGGTGCCTGACCCGCCCCATTAGATTCGTGCGTGGCCACAATCCGCTCCCTCCCAGCTCCAATGCGTGCACGGTGCTATCAGGCTCGGAGGTCCGTGGACATCCGAAGTTCCCCTGCCCTGAAGCCTGCCTCGCGCGCTCGCTCCCTCCCCTGCCGGCGCAGGCGCTCGGCAGCGCCTCTTCTCCGCTCGCCCTCCTCCTCCAGCCAACCGTACAGATGATGATCCCGTCCAGCCAGAGCAGCCGTTCGACAACCAGCTACTCGACGACGAACTGGCCATCGCTCGGACGTCCATTCCCTGTGTTTTTTGTCGGTTTCGTGCGTGTTTTTTTCGCCAAATGATCAAGGATGCTCCTCGATGGTCCTCGCGGAAAGAAAAATGCACACCTCCGAGCGATGCCAAGCGAAAAGGATGCAGCAAGAGAATGGTTTGAGGATCTCCTTGATCCAGCCGAGCGTGGGAGCTGGCGGTGCAGGCAGTCGCTCGCCGAAGCCCCCCTGTCCTGCGGGGCGCGCCCCGACAGGCGAGCAGGGGCCGCAGTGCTCTGCGAGGGGGAAGTGCTTCTAGTGTATGACATGCGGGCAATACTTATATCCATATCCAGAGCGTCTTGAACTTTTTGGGAAGGGGTGCCGCAAGGCCGAGGCGCACTGGATGTGGACACAACATCGAGCCTTTAGGGGACAATATGTTTGTCCATATCCAGTTCGCCTCTGGTTTCTGGGGGAGAGAGCCCAGAACTCCAAGACGCACTGGATGTGGACATAACTATTGCCCGCATAATATCTGCATACTTTCGTCAGGCTCTGCAGTGTGCTGTTTTGTGTTCCCTGAGGTCGATGGGTGACAAACACGTCGTCGTCGTCGTCGTCGGCGTCGGCATCGTCACCTTTGCCACTGGAGAAGGGTTGGGGGGGGGGAGCCAGTTCGACCCTTCCCTTACAATTTTCCACGGGAGAAGGGGGGGGGGGCAGTTCGAACCCTTCCCCCCTTGAGAGAGGGGGTGCCCCTCCTCC